GCCTAGGCTAGCTTTGAACCGTGATCCTCAGATCTCAGCCTCCTGACTAGCTAGGATTCCAGGCATAAGCCACTACCGCCTGGCTAGACCCATTCTTTTATCATTAAAAAAATATTAGTTTTGTTGGTTTTCTTCCTAGGCTTTTTGAGCCACTTGCTTTGTAGTCCAGGCTCCTGCCTCAGCCTTCCCACTGCTGGGATTATAGTCATGCACCACCAACATTCCCCCAAAATGTTAGGTTTTTGTTTTGTTTGTCTCTTTTCCCCTGGTTGTTTTGGAGATTAAAGTCTAGCTTATAGTCTAACCACAGTTCTACAGATCTTAACCTCACAACTTGCTGCAATTGTAGGCAGCAGCCATCAGTGCCTATCTAGGGATGTTTTAATAAAAACAGTCACAGTATTTTTAGTAACATCATAATAAGCTTATTTGTAGCTAGGAAATAAAAGCATATTGGTAACTAGATGCCAACATTAATCTGTTTTGTGTTTTTCAGTAATATTTGCATTTCTCACAAAAATACTTTAGCTCTTATACAAGCAGTTAATATAAGTCACCCTACAAAAGTGTGCCACAAAGAGCTTAGGTTTTTAAGCCAGCAATATATATCAACCTTGAAATGTACCACATTAGTCCTCTGATGTTTGAGTTATTTAAATGCTCATATTTCTTTCACATTTTGGAAAATAATCATAATGTTAGTTGACATCATAAATGTCAAGGTAGCATTGTATTTCTGTGGCAACATTTTCTTGGTTTCATTTGTGTAATTCTGGTAAAAGGCATTCACTGCTTATTGTTCATTGTGTGTGTGGCTTATATGTGTGTGATTATGTGATTATACATATATAGCAAAGAGTGTTTTTTTTTCTTTAAACATACTAGTTATGTGTAATGTACTGTAGATGTGTGCTTGTTTGTTTTTTTCACTAAAGATATTTTAGAGGTCTTTCCATATCAATTTATGAAGAGCTGTCTTTATTCCTATGTTAGATTGCTTATGTTTTCTCCATTCTCCTCTGGTTTTTTGCCTCTTTGAGTTGTTTTATGGCCATTTTTCTTTTTGCTTTTTGTTATTTCATTTTCATATGATGGTATTCTCCAATTATGTATTCAATTGAATTATATTTACAAATATGTATAACAGTGTTTCATCTAGAACATTACATTTACCCACAAAGTTCCTTCATTTTATTTCTCAGTGGTTATGTAGACAATCACTGAATATTTTTCATTTCAGTCTATCTTGTGTCTTGTAAGATTTCACATAGAATCATTCAGTATTTAGTGTTCAGCTTCTTTTGATCAAGAACCATCAAGCACTCTACTACTTATCAGACTACTTCTGAAGTTCATCAAAGTGTCCATAATTTTCTTTTTTTGTATGTATATATCTCCTTTGAATTTCCATGCTTTTAAAATTAGCTTATCGGGCTGGGAAGGTGGCTCAGTGGTAGAGTGCTTGCCTTGGATGCATGATGCCCTGGGTGCGATTCCTCAGCACCAGATAAGCAGATAAAGCTGGAAGTGGTACTGTGGCTCAAGTGGTAGAGCTCTAGCCTTGAGCTGAAATGCTGAGGGCAGCGCCTAGGCCCAGAGTTCAGGCCCCACAACCGACCCCCCCCCCAAATAAAATAAAATTAGTTTATCAATTACTATAAAATTATCTTAATAATAGCATGTTGGTAAAAGATTGTAAACAAATGGATCATAATCATGTGGGAAAGACATATAGTTTATCTTTATACTTAAGTTGTATAAAGACTTTGGCAAGGTTAATAAATGTGCAGGTCTTAGATATCTTGTGTTAATATGTATAATCAGGCATCAGTAGAACAAGTGGAAGTTCTCTTGGCAGTCTTGAGCTTTTACTGACAGGAACCAGAGAGGGGTCTGGATTGTTCTAGGCCTGTCCCTGTTCTAGTGCCGTCCCTTAGTTATTTTGCTCAAGGCTACCTAGCATTGTACCACTTGAGCCACAGCTCCATTTCCTGCTGTTTGATGGTTAATTGGAGATAAGAGTATCATGGATTTTCCTACCTGGGCTGGCTTTGAACCATCATCTTCAGACCTCAGCTTCCTGAGCAGCTAGGATTACAGGTATAAGCTATCAGCCCCCAATGATCCCCTGTTATCTTTTGTTCCCCCCTATTATCTTGAATATTTTTTCCTTGTCTGTTCTTGTTTTTATGAAACTGAGTATTACTGAGTATTTGTTTTGTTGATCAGTGTTTATTTCAGGTTTTCTGATAAGGTAATTTTTGTGAATTTTTAGATGTAATGACTTGTCTTCTCCATCCTCATATGAATTTTATTTCTGCATTTGTGATTTTCAGCTCTAGTATTTCTACTTGCTACATTTTAATAGTTTTCATTACTCAACAGTTTCATTAAGTTCATGAACTTATTTAAAATAGCTTAATATTCTTGTCTGCTAGTTCATCTTGGGATCTGTTTCTGTTGATTGTTCAGTTCTGACTAGGTATAATATTTAACTGTTTCTTCATGTTACTTGCCTCGGCAGTGTTAGTTGTGTTCCAGCAGGTAGTTTTCAGTAGCATCAAAATCCATACATAAGCTGGAGCTGAAATATATTATTTTAGTCCTCCACGTGCTAGTTTGCTGGTTTCATTCAACCCCCAGTCTGTCCACTTTGTCATGGAGGTCTCAAAAGGGATTTGGGCACAGTTCGAAGGCATAGTTTGATGTTTTTGTTTTTTCCCTCTGATTGACTATTTACAGTTAACTAGTTTTTTAAGTTACTGTTGCCTTACCTAGCTCACTCTAGGGAGTTTCTTAAGTATGAAAACCTGGAAACAGTTCTCTACTGCAGTTCTCCTCTTCTACAGATTTATGTCCCTTTACTTCTTATTTTCTTCTGGTTTGTCTCTACTGTGTTCAAAGACTTTTATTACATTTGGTTTAGAATTTTTTTATTATCTAGAAGAAAGTTAATGTAGTTGAGGCTCCTTAAATACTACTCTTGCTATCCAGTTTGCATTTTCTTTCACTAATTGCAGCTTTTCAATTGTGGTGTGCTACATTAGAGTAATTTTGTCTGGATCTTTTTATTGAGATTGCATCAAGTACATAAATTTGGTACAAATGTATCCATGATACTGTCTTTTTGTTTAGAGACATGTATGTTACTTACTGTACCTTTGCATTGAGTTATGTTTAAAATGTTTCCTGTATAATTTTGCACATTTGCAGTTGTATCGATTCTTGTTGCTTTGTATACTTTGTTAAAATTATATTATAAAATACACTAGCAGATATTTTTAGAAGCATTTAATATTTTAAAAGAACTTTTGTAAGGATAGTCTGATAAAGAAGTAAAGGGTTAGTAAAGTGGGTAGTCTAATAAACAGGTAAAGGGTTAAGTACTATGTGCTAATAGTAGTCAGAAAATGACTGAGTTAAGATGTGAGGGTCTGTTTGCTTTTAGATTGCATGTTCTTAAAAACTACTGATTATTGATTAATTTCAAGGCTTAAACAGAGTATAACTTAAGTGCGTCATGCTCTGTTGTAAGTTCTGGTTTTCATGTTAGTCCTAGAGTAACTTGAGTGAAATGTTCTTTTAAATGTCATAAGAACAAAATGCCCTCTGACCAATACTGTGTTTAATCATTTTCCTTGAGTTATTTCCAAAAACAAAATGATTATCTAAGTACTATCCCTTTTTTAAATTGAATCACAAAATGTTCTAAAATCCAGATAATTATTTTCTGACTTAAACTATTTATTCCATATATTCTAGTGAATATTTGATAAATACCTTTTAATTAAAGAAACCATTTAGGTTGTGATTTTAAAATCAGCGTGCTTTTGGGGGAAAAGGATAAGTCTAAATTATCCTCTCTTTTTTTGTCTTATTCTAGTAGTTTTAGTTTGTACACTAAAAAGCATTTTAAGGCAGTGCAGAAAAATTTCTCAACATGGTTTTTTAATTTTTTTTCAATTGTGTAATAACTATGCCCCCAAAGCAGGACATGACAACAGTTTCCTGCAGAAAGGCAACTATATAAGGATTGTGTACAGGGGGACTGTTCTGCATAGACTCAGAAAGTCAGTACTTCAACCATTCCCCCTTGTAATAACTGATCTAGTTAGCTTACCAGCTATGTGTGAATTTGGAGTGTAATCAATTGTCTATTTTCAAAAGTTGTTTTGAAATAGTCCATCTTCCCTTTTGAAATTTTGATGACTTTGTAGTATGTGAGAAAGGAAATTGAGTTTCATAAACTACCTTACAGCTAGGATCCATGGCTGTCAAATAAACAAATGTCCCATTCCAAAAATTCCTTTTAAACTCTTCCTTTCTTCCACAGACCAGAAGTTACTTTGAATTGAAGTAGTGGCAGGGAAAATAGAATTTATCTCTGGGATGCCTATGTTCTGGAAAGAAATGTGGAAGAGAAATTTTAAGGTGTGCTATATTGGAGTAACTTCATAATCATGTGTCCTTTAAATAGACTAATAGTAATTTTCAGTGAAACTGAATATATAACTATCACAGCCAAATAATGTGAAAATCTTAACAGCGTTTATATTTGCTTCAATTGGATTTTTTCTTATGTTAAAAGTATCCAATTGACATCTGGTTTCAGATACAAATTAATAGCTAAATTTTTTTTAACTGAGTGATAAAACAGGAACATTCTTTGAATGGCTGAAGGCATGGGTGTTAGATCTTGTTTTGAGTAGAGGAAATGGGAAAGGACATTACAGGTATGATTTCACTTAAGCTAGAGAGCATTGATGTTCACATTTTAAAAACATAATCATAACTTATCTGGAGTCACATGTTTCATTTTATTGGCTTCCTTCATATAGAAAATATAGTAATCAGCACTAAATGCCTGTGAAAAGTGAAACAATGTATATTTTCTGGGTGAAGGAAGTATTCTGTACATTCTCCATGTTTTACATCATGGTATTTTGAATAACCATGCTTCCATGTTCACATCAATTTTTTGTTTTTCAATTTATGCACAGCACTTGCTCTGAAATTTGGGGACTGAGTACACCAAATACGATAGATCAGTGGGATACAACAGGCCTTTACAGCTTCTCTGAACAAACCAGGTGAATATTCTGCCCTCTATGGAATCCTAGAGATCTTGTGGGAGGGGGGGTGTTTTGGAAGACCTCTATTGGGTTGCTTACTATAATTTTGCCTAATATGTTTCCTTAATGTAAAATAAGGCATAGCATTCAAAATATCTGCTTGCCAGTATTAAATGTTTCAGCCGAAGTTTTGATCAATGCAATTTTAGTTTTGAATCTTTTAAAAAATTATTCTATCCCCTAAAGAATAAGAACTTGATAACTATATACTCATTGTAGTTCAAGATTAGATTAATCTGTTGCTGGTCTAATATTTTGAGTAGACACATGACCGGTTATTGCTAAATTTTTTGTTGTCATTTAAATATCATCTTTGTACTAATACATAGTTATTTACTGAAACCCTTATATCACAATTAACAATAGGCTAACTTGTTTTTTTGTTATCTTTTTAAAAATCAACTCATTTAAGCATATTGGTATTTGTCCATTTCATCTCATCATATTCATTGCCATCTGCATTTATGTGTGAGCTATATATAAGTATACCTATGTTACCAAAATCACAACTGAATGATGAGTTACATTAGTTTGAGTAAGTTACTACCCATCATTGTTGATATTTATCATTCCTCACTCAACTTTCTTTTTTTGACTATTCAACTATCTACAGAATTAATGCCCTTTTAAAGAGTTTGGCTTATTAAGGATAGATATTGACAAAATGTTTTTCAAGTACAGTCATATGATAGTCTTTTGAAAAGATGAATTTTTCCCAAGTGATGAGCCTTTTATTGGCATGTGAGTCATTTACTCAGAGTATTGATAGGAAACATCTGCTAGTGCTGCTGCTCACTTGATCAGATTGGTTAAAGAGTACACTTTTCTTCCTGGTTTTCACCAAAACTAACTCAGTGGCTGTCATTCCTTTCTTTATGTTCTCAGTCTACTTAGCCCTTTTGACTACATATTTTTTTTTCTTTTTTCTTTTTTAAAGTTTCTTTCTTTCTTTTTCTCCTTGCTTCCCAATAGATCTCTTGATGGTCGGCTTCAGGTTTCCCATCGAAAAGGGTTGCCACATGTTATATACTGCCGATTATGGCGCTGGCCTGATCTTCACAGTCATCATGAACTCAAGGCAGTTGAAAACTGCGAATATGCTTTTAATCTGAAAAAGGATGAAGTTTGTGTAAATCCTTATCACTACCAGAGAGTTGAGACACCAGGTAGGAAGACTACAGAGATTTTTAAATGAAATGCCTGAACTTAAATATTTTTTGGTACTCTTGTGAATCCAGGGAAATACTAACATAAAATTCTAATAAACTATCTTAAATTGAGTGTATTAATTGATAGTTGTAAATGCTTTCTTTTAAAAATTATGGAAAAACTTAGAGAAAAAGTGAGGTCTGGTTCTTGGATAGAATACTATATTGTTCATAAAGATACTTGTCAGGAAATTATAGGCTACTGTCTTCTTAGAGTAAACTGACAGTGCTCTGTACCTCTGCTGCACTTGTTCTTTTTCTGTTTTTTGTTTGTTTGTTTGTTTTTGTTGTTCTAGTCCTGGAGCTTGAACTCAAGGTCTTCATGCTAGCCCTGAGCATTTTTGCTCAAAACATTTTGTGCTTAATTGGAGAAAAGAGTCCCACAGAATTCCCCACCTGGGCTGGCTTTGAACTACACTCCTCAGATCACAGCCTTTTGAGTAGCTAGGATTACAGATGTGAGCCACTAGCTCCCAGCTAAGCACTTGCTCTTCAATGCAGTTTCAAGAGTATTTTTATGATATTTGTGTATATGTAGTTTATTCAAGCTCATTGCAAGATTTTCATTTAGAGTGTGCTTGGAACCTTAAAAAATACAACTATATATTTTTAGAAAAATCCTCTAGAGTTCTATGAACTCTGATAGTAGAACATTCAGGTGATAGACTACATAAATCAAAGCCAGGATTAAATTTATCCTTTCTTAGGAACTACTATAATACTAAATAGGTGAACTCTAATAACTTTAAAAAATTAATCTGTTGCCTTCTCTTTCCTTATGAAAACTTACATTAAGGTCCCTCCACTCCTTTCTTTCCTTCTTGCCTCTAATGGGTTTCTTTAACTCTTGCAGTTTTGCCTCCGGTGTTAGTGCCCCGGCATACTGAGATTCTAACAGAACTACCACCTCTGGATGATTACACCCACTCCATTCCAGAAAACACTAATTTCCCAGCGGGAATTGAGCCACAGAGTAATTACATCCCAGGTATTTTTGCCTTCTGAAACTTGCCTAAAACTTAAACAGATAACGATTTTGTCATTAACAGTGGAATGTTAGTAAATCATGGTTTTGCTTTTTTCAAAATGCTTCTAGATTTTGAATAGAAAAATCTTGATTTGTTGGATCATTAATTTTGAAATGTCTAAGCTTAGTACATTTAAACAGAAAAAAGCTTTTACTTTATATTCATTTTCTTTTTTAGTGGGTTTAATCTAAGTGCTGTGAGAAGCAGAAAGGACTGTAGTGAAAGTTTATCTTAGTTGTTTGAAACAGAGAAATGCAGAATGTAACAAATAATTGGTTCAGGAAAATTGTATTTCTGAAACAAATGTAACTGAAAGAATGCTTCCTAAATAATCACTATTAGATAATCTAATATTTAAGTGTAACCTTTCTCTAGGAGATACAGTGTTTTAACTCAGTAGATGAAACAACACTGTAATTATATTAAAAATCAGAAAAACCTCTTATTTTTAGTTAGGTTTCTTGTGGACTTTAGTCTAAACTCTAGATGAAATATGAATGAGTCCTACCACATGTCTCTAAAAATTCCATTCTCTTGTTTTATGTGATCCAGTAAATTTCACAATACAGTATTTGTCATTTTAGTCATTAGGTTTTTTTGTGTTTGTTTTTTTTATTGTGAAAATACCATACAGAGGGATTACAATTACATGAGCAAGGTAATGAGTACATTTCTTATCAAGCATTGTTGCCTCTTCCTTTGTCATTAGTTTTTCTCTAAGGGAACAGTAATCTTACGTTATTTTTCCTGTATGTTTCCCCTTGCTTGTTTTCTCCCCATCTAGAAACTAAGAATATGATATTAGAATGAGGACTCAGCTATATGCTGGATTTTTGGTCAGGTTTTTTTTCCCTCTTTTGGTGATGGGAAATGTGTTGAACTCAAGTCTCTAGATTGCAGGCTCTCTACCACTGGAGATATACCTCCACTTCCTCCATTTATGTTTCTTTATTCCAACCTGACTTTAATTTTTTACAACTGAAAACCTGTCAGGAATGTAAGTTTCATGTACATTAAGAAAATACTTCCTTGGAGTTTTCTATCATGGAAGACTGCTTGTTCATTGAAGACACTTTTTTTTTTTTCTTGCTCTAGTCATGGGGCCTGAACTCTGGGCCTGGGCACTGTCCCTCAGTTCTTCAGCTCAAGGCTAGCTCTCTACCACTTGAGCCACAGCGCCACTTCTGGCTTTTTTCTTTTTGCTTATGTGGTGCTGAGGAATCAAACCCAGAGCCTCAGGCAAGCGCTCTACCACTGAGCCACCTTCCCAGCCCCTATTGAAAATAATTCAAAAAGGTGTAAGAAAAGGGAGAAGTATTTTTATGTTTATTTATTTAATTATCTTTAAGTAGTTGTACAAAGGAGTTGCCATTTAACAAGCAATTTATGAATATAATGCATCTATTTTTACAGATAGGAAGTGATAAGGTTACTTTTTACAGTGTTGTTACATAGGAACATTTTAAGAAGTTAGCAAGGAAGAAGAGGGATGGGATGCAATACTAAAGAATGAGACATTTCCCAAGTAGAAAAATTCAATCTTGTCTTTCATAAACCTGGTTAAGGTGGATTTTTTTGTATGTATGTGCATGTATGTTTGTGCTCATATTAGGAGGAAAGGAGATAGTTTAAGTCTTTTTTGGGGGGTGGTTCTGGTCGTGGGGCCTGAACTCTGGGCCTGGGCGCTTTCCCTCAGCTCTTCAGCTCAAGACTAGCGCTCTACCACTTGAGCCGCAGCGCCACTTCCGGCTTTTTTCTTTTTGCTTATGTGGGGCTGAGGACTTGAACCCAGGGCCTCATGCATGCAAGGCAAGCACTCTACCACTGAGACACCTTCCCAGCCCAGTTTAAGTCTTAACGTGGAAATGAGGTACAGTAGTAATAAACTAGGGTATAAGCACAGTCTCATGAGACACATACTTTATAACTTGTTACAAGCACACGCATCTAAATGTGTAGTGGCCTAACTTATGAAGGCGTTTGGGTTGGTATTTTTTTTTATCCTAACTTGTATAGAAGTTAATATTGCATAAAGTAGAAAATCATAATTGAATTCTTCTGACTGGCTTTTCTGATCAGTGAGGCTTGATCCACTGCCAAGCATAAACAAAACCAAAGAGTTCACCTTTTTGTGTGTGGTGCTAGGAATCAGACGCAGGGTCTTGTGCATACTTGGCACATACCTAGTTTGATCCCTAGTCAAAGTTCACTTTATTAGTTCTCTTCAAAAGAAATTTTAGCATTTTCTCAAAAATACAAATAGCTTATTGGTTTGTACAAACGTAACTGGAGGAAAATGAAATACAGTAAGCTAAATAATGTCTTATTTCGTTCACCTTACCTTGGTGGAAGAAATGCCTTATATCTCTAAGACACTGATTAACCTGGCAAAGGTTAGCTCTAACTCTGTTAACTTTAACTTTTAAAATAACATATCTTTTAGTTACATTTTTGCCATTTACTGTTTGGCTATATGAAGATAATTAAGATTTTTTTCAGTATGATGAGTTTAGGACACTGAGTATGGAACACGCCTGTAATCCCAACACTTGGAAGACTGAGGCAGAAGGATCACACGTTTATAGCCAGTTTGGGCTTTGTAATGAGACCCTGTTAAAGATACAGACAAAAAGATTTGAGGTGTTGGCTTTTAAATGGAAAGTTTGGCATTTAAAATTTATGGTTAAATAATTTAAGATACATTGTAGGGATAGTGAAGGAGACTTTTAACCATGCCTTCCTTTCTCCCTTTTAATAACTGCAAGAATGTATAGTTATTAAGGAATGTGTAACTTAATAAAGATAAATAAATAAAATAAAATTTCTTCTCCCTTTTCTTACCTCTTTTTAAATTACCTTCCATGAACAAGCATTCTTCCATGATTGAAAACTCCAAGGAAGTATTTTCTTAGCTTTGTGTATATATTACCTTTATTGCTTAAAACTTTCAATATAAAGCTGTTGAAAAATCTTTGGAACTTATTGTTTTCTCCTTAAAATCACAAATGATGAAATAGTGCAAATATTTTTATTTTCTATGAAGTATACTTGCCTATTCAGATACCACTTGAATATTTTGTTTAAAAAGTATTGAAAATGATACATTTGAGTCTTAATATTTATTTTTAAGGAGTATGTTGCCTATATAGTACAGTAATTCATGCATGAATTTTCTACTTCAAAATTTTAGAATTTACTAGTTAGAAATAAAGAAAAATTGACATGTCAGTCCTGAACCATTTTATCATAAGTTGTACTATAAAACTTGTATTTAACAAAATATGCCAATTGAGTTTGGGTGATAGTGGCTCACTCCTATAATCCTAGCTACTCAGGAGGCTGAGATCTGAGGATTATTATTTGAAGCCACCTTTGTAGGAAAGTCCATGAGATTCTTCTCTCCAATTAACCACCAAAAAAGCTGGAAATGGAGCTGTGGCTCAAGTGGTAGAGTGCCAGCCTTGAGTGAAAAAATGAAGGGACAATACCCAGTTCACACACAGACACACATAGACACAGAAAGGGAGTTGAATTGTATTGCGAGTAGGTTTTAAAGATGTACCTGGAAGATTTTGATCAGAACTTGAGTCATAAATCTTCAGTTCAATCTTTTTTTATAATAATGTTTTTATCTTTTATTTGGGGATTATTTATTGGTTATATTTGGTAGCTATGAGAAAAGGTAAAATCAAATCAAAATAACTACTTAATTTGTTCTAAACTTTTATAGAAACACCACCACCTGGATATATTAGTGAAGATGGAGAAACAAGTGATCAACAGTTGAACCAAAGTATGGATACAGGTAAAAAAAAAAAAAAAGACCAAAATTTCTGAATAATAACTCTTCAGCTCTCTGTATCTACAAGTCCCACATATGGATTCAACCAACCACAGATTGAAAATATTTAAGGAAAATTTTACATCTGTACCAAACATACAAGACTTTTTCTGGTCATTATTTCCTAAATAATACAGTATAACAACTGTTGTCATGGTATTTTTTGTGTCATTTTATATGAGGAAAGTAGCTGAAAACTTTTATTGTCCACAAGGAGTTTTGGACCAATCTTTTGAAGATGCCTAGGGTCCACTTTACATTTCTTATATTAACTGAAATTTGGATATCGCTCCCAAATTTAGAGAAGTTGAGAAACATACCAAAAAGGAGAATCTCCCATTTTGATAGTAACTATTAAAGGGAGATAATGTTGCTATGAAAAAATCCGCATGTATTAACTACTTTGAAAATAATAGAATTTTTTCTTATGACACAAATCAAGATACATTGTGTTCATAAACTGTTAAAAGGCAACTCCTTTTTACAACTACTTAAAAATAATAAAAATTAAAAAAATTCTTTCAATTTATAGTAAATATAAATGTGCAAATACATGGTTTTATTTCTTTTATATATCCTGTGCTTCTATTTAAATTTTTAGTTACCCTAAGATATATACCCAAAAAGATACATGAATATCCCTCTGAGTTGCGTGCCAGTGTCTCTGACTATATCCTACCCTAGTCATCAGGCTCTGGTCTGAGGATTGAGATTAAATGCCAGCCCGGGCAGACAAATCCCTAAGACTATTACCTTGAATTAACAAAAGCTGCAATGGCAGTATAGCTCAATTGGTGTAGTGCCAATTTTGAGTGATAAAGTCAGGTGAAGGTCTGAGGCAAGCCCCATTGCCAGCACATATACACAAAAGGCTCTTTGGTAAAAGGCTATAAGTAGTCTATGTTTTTAGAGGTATTTGAGAATAGGAGATGGAGAACAGCTAGCTATTCAGTGCATCTTTAAAGTAAGTAAATATATCTTATGCTAACACTCCACATAACTTTAAATTCTGTTAATATTTAAAGTCTTTAAAAATTATCTTTTGACTCTTGTCTTGTTAATGTCTTGCAAAGATTTATCTGTTAATGATTTCAAAGAACCAACTTTTATTTTGTTAACTTTTTTCTGTTGACTTCATCTCTCCTACTTCATTTGCGTCTGTTCTACAACATTTTCAATTAATTTGCAATTAATCCCCTTTCTTATCTCTTGTGTACATTCAGATCATTTATTTCTTTCCTAATAAAAGCACTTAAAAGATACAAGTTTTCTCTGGGCATCAGTGGCTCATTCCTGTAATCCTAGCTACTCAGGAGACTGAGATCTCAGGATTGTGGTTCAAAGCCAGCCCTGGCAGGAAAGTCCTGAGACTCTATCTCCGATAAACCACTTACAAAACCAGAAGTGGCACTGTGGCTCAAGTGGTAGAGTGCTAACCTTGAGCTGAAATGCTGAGGGACAGCACCCAGGCCCAGAGTTCAAATCTCATGACCTACCAAAAAGAAAAAAGTTACAAGTTTTCTTCTAACCCTTATTTTGGCTCTAGACTACACATTTTAAAAAATGTTATAAAGAATACTGTACAGAGGGTTACAGTTACATGAGTAAGGTAATGAGTACATTTCCTATTGAGCATTGTTACCCCCTCCTTTGTTTTTTTCTCTTATTATCCCTTCCCTTCCCACCTCCCCAACTCCTCCCTCCCCCCTATACTACACATTTTTAAACATGGCTTTTTTTCTCTATTTAATTACTTTCTAACTCCTCTTGTGATATCTTTGGCCTATTATTTATTTTGAAGTTGGTATTTTAAAGAAAAATAAAATATTGTGAGAATTTTCTAAATACTTAGTTGATTTCTAGTTGTATATTTTGTGGTCCTAAATATACAATAAATAACTTCAATCCATTGAAATTATCTTAATAATTATTTTATTCATTAACATGTGTATTTTTAGCAAGAGTTTTATAGATAGTTGAAAAAGAATGTATCTTATTTTACTTTTAATTAATATTAATTAAATTATTTTGTTATATAATTAATACTATATTTCATTATAGTATTTTCTAAATGTCATTAAGATGAGAATGATTGCTGTTTAAATCTTTTCTGATTAAAAAATCTATTTGTCAATTATAGAGAAGAGTACTCTAATTCTTGTGTTTTTTGTTTTTGCTTTTAGTCCCGTCAAGTTTTATGTTGTTTTTCTTTTTTGGTACTCGTCCTGAGACTTGAACTCAGGACAAGGGCACTCTCCCTTAGCTTTTTCACTCAAGGCTGGCACTTGAGCCATACTCCCACTGGATACTGTGTACCCTTCACTAATTGATCCCCATCTCTTAAGAATTAACATGCCCATGTTTTTCTTATCTCAGTGCTTTCACAGTATACTTTTCATCCTTTTATGTTCATTCTGTCTTTAATATCTTTATGTTCAAGATATGTCTATTATGGACAGCATTTTGTACTGTCTTTATCTTTTATTGAAATAAAATGTACAATTAATGTTTATACTTCCATTTCCATATATATAAAAAGAGATTATTGATACTGGGTTTAGGTTACCATTTTGCTATATGTCTTCAATTGCTTTATCTGTTTTTGATGCCTCTATTTTATTTGCCTACCATAGTCAAAAAATTATTTTTTGGTCGTGTGGCCTGAACTCAGGGCCTGGGCTCTCTGACCTCTTTTGCTCAAGGTTAGCACTGTACCACTTTAAGCTGTACCACAGATCCACTTCTGGTTTTCTGGTTGTTAATTGAAGATAAGAGTTTCATTGACTTTTCTGCATGAGCTGGCTTTGAACTGCCATCCTCAGATCTCAACCTCCTAAGTAACTAGGACTGTAGGCTGGAGCCACTTAGCACCCACCCGGCTTAGTCATTTATTTTTGTTCTTATATTTGCTATTTGGCATTATTTCTTTTTAGATAATATTTCTTATAATATCTTCTAGGTATTGTAAAACTTACATTATATTTTGCACCTTTTATATGAAAGTTACTTAAGTTGTAATATTTATAATTTCATGAGAAGTTTGAAAACTTCACAGCTGTCTAATTCCGTTCATATATACCCAATGTCTTTGCTGTTATCACACATTATACTTTTAAAGGCATTTTTAAAGGATTAAAAAAATACTTTATATTGACCATTTTTACTTTTTTTCCTGTTTTCTGTTCCTTTTCTGGAAACATTAATTTATTCCAGCACCATTTGTTGAAGAGACTTTACCTGTTCCATTGTTTTGGTTTGACTTCTTTGTCTAATGATAATTTGACAAAGAAGTGATAATATATTTGTGGATTTGGCTTTTGTTTTGCTATTAAGACAATTGAATCTTCATATAGATATTTTATTTTTCAGTTTTACAGTTCCCATGTTACAGATCTTATCTGATAATCCCAATATCTGGCTAATATATAGCTCTGCTTCTGTTTTATCACTTTAATTATAGATTACATTTTCCTACTTTGTATGTGTCTCATTTTATAATTGAATACTTGGTATTTTATATAAAATTATACCAGAGTAATTTAGACACTCTTTCTCTTTCTGGGTACTACTTGAAGAGCTTATCTCTCCTCTGGAATGAAGAGTCTAGATGATTTGTGCTTTAATTAATACCAGATTATCTAAAGTTTCAGGTATCCTTCCTCTTAGCAGAATTTTCAGATGCCTGAGACAAGACTATAGGCTATCTCATAGTTTCTTTTTTTCTGCTATTTCTTTTTTGTTGTTATTTATTCATTTATTTTTTTATTGTGAGAATACCATACAGAGGAGTTACAATTACATGGGCAAGATAATGAGTACATTTCTTCTTATCAAGCATTGTTGCCTCCTCTTTGTTTCCCCTTCCCATACTCCCCTCTCCTCCCCCCACCCGATCCCCCCCCCACTAAAGTTGTGAAGTTAGTTTTTCAACATAACAACTTGTACAACAACTTGTACATCTCATTGTTGCAATGGGTCTACCTGTATCCCTAGTTAAATGATTTGTTTTTGCCCTTCCCCTCGACAAATTATACCAACATCAAATACAGTGAAAGCAAGGGTTATACCGTGGGGGAGGAACATACAAAGCAACATAGAAATCATCTTATAAATATGTTAGAAACACTTGCATGAAAGAAAAACAAACACTTGAATACTTACCTTGGGGTTCATTCCCCTAACATCAACTTATCTGACCTTTTCTGCTTAACTCAGACATATACTAGTTAAGGGAAACCATGGGACCTATGTTTCTTTGGACCTGGCTTACTTCACTTAATATAATTTTTTCCAAGCCTTTCCATTTCCTAACAAATGGGGCAATGTCATTCTTTCTGATGGAGGCATAGAATTCCATTGTGTATATATATCACATTCTCTTGATCCATTCATCTACTGAGGGGCATCTGAGTTGGTTCCATATCTTAACTATGGTAAATAACGCTGCAGTAAACATAGATGTGCTGGTAGCTTTAGTATGGTCTTGTTTGTGATCATTTGGGTAAATGCCCAAAAGTGGGATTGCTGGGTCATAGGGGAGCTCTATGTGGAGTCTTTTGAGGAACCTCCATACTGCTTTCCAAAGTGGTTGAACAAGTTTACACTCCCACCAATAATGTAGTAAGGTTCCCTTCTGTTCATAGTTTCTTATCTTAGCTTGACACCTACTCCCGTTCCTGTGTTATCATGTACTCAGCTAATCACATCAATTAGAATGAATTGATGAGGACTAGCTCTGTGTTGGGACTTCTTAATTCTCATAACCATAAACTTTTGAATTGGTTTCTTTTTAAGCAAATCCAATCCTGTCTGTGTTTTAACTTTGTACACTATACTGTCTGTGGCCATTCTTTCAACATACAGTCCTGGCTTGTTTCTTGATATTTACCCAGATGAATTGAAAACTTAAGTGTTTACATAAAAACGTGATCATAGTCTGATCATAGCAGCTTCATTCATGATTCTAAAATATGTGAATATAAGCAAAATATCCTTAATTAGTAAATAAATAAATTGTGGTACATAAAGACAATATAATATTTAGTGAGAAGAAATGAGCTATTATACTATTAAAAGACATGGAAGATGTGAAATTGCTAAGTGAAAGAGACCTGTCTACAAATGCTTTCTTCTGCAAAGTCCCAACTGTATGACATTCTAGGAAAGGCAAAACCAGAGACCATAAAAGGTTAAGGCTAAAGAGAAGGGAAGATTGATTAGGGTAGCTTTTTTAGGTCATTGGAGTTACTCTTGATTCTACAAATGATGTGTACATGCTATACATATATACAAATATAAAGTATAAAGCCTAATGAGAATGAGACTGTGAACTTTAGATGATAATGATGTGTCAGTGTGAGTTCATTGATGGTAACAAATATACTATTATAGTATGAGAATGCTGATGCTGAGTTGAGATTGTAGAGAAGGGGCAGTATATGGGACCTTTACATACATTCCTCTCAATTTTGCCATGAACCTAAAATAATAATAATAATAATAAAATAATAATGTTTTAATGTCACCTGAAAGATGCACCAAACAGATTTTTTAATAGAAAATATTTTACAAATGTGTGACAATTCTAAGACCTGAGTTCTAAATTTAAAAACTTAAAAACAAGAGGAAGAAGATAGTTAATAGAAAAAATGGACAGAAGGAATATAATTGGACCAAAACAAGAGAAACAAAATGCATAAACAGTTACCACATTTAAACTTGTTAAGTTGCAGGTGTCAGCATGTAGTGATATCAAGAAACTAATGAAATGAAACACATTTTTAGAGGGTACTTCAGCACTTGTTTATAAAAATATCTTTGATATAGAGTAAAAAAGCTAGAAGTATAGCTCAAATGGTAGAGTGACAGCCGTGAGTGAAAAGTAAGAACTTGAGGCCCAGAGTTCAAGCCTTAGTACCAGCACCAGGTGTCTGTGTATAGATACGCATGCATGCACGTATGTATGTGTGTGTATGCATGCATATATGTATGGAAGTAGTTAATAGATGAGTATAACCGGGCAATTTCCTTTTCTATCAATAGCTTTGTTTATTTTTTGTCTGCTTCAGCAAACAGTGGTGAAATTGAGTTAGTTGGTCTAAATATATTTGACCTATTCTTAGTTGTACCAGTTGCCACTTGCCAACAGATTTTTCAAATGAGTAACTAGCTTAATTGTATTAAAGAAGATCATTTTGTGTTCAAAAGTATTCATCATCTGTGCTGTTTCTCATTTGTCTGTTTATCTTGGAGCTGCCCTTTAATCTTTGCTACCTGCCATTTTATGTAGTGGTTGTAGGTATGTGGTACATGAAGTAGTCTGACCTCCCTTTCTCTATATGTGTTCCAGCGTGTATGTGGGAAGCTTGGGAGCTATATGTAAATTATGCTCATTCAGATGATTTTCCCTAAATATGTAAAGAATGATAAAGGTATACTAAATATATATTTATAATTCTAGTAAATTATTTAACATTTACAACCTGTGCTGTAGAATATAGTTGCATGGAATTGAGTAAAGTAGTCTTAAAGATTGTTTTGTTCTGTTGTCTCTCTTTTGTTGGTCCTTTTTCTTATTTTAAGTATTTATGCCCTTTTATTTTCTTGACTTGAGTGATCTGGATTACTTAAAATGGAAATAAAAATCAGGTGATTTTCTGAGAAAATATGATTCGATAAATCTGACTAGAAGAAATAAACCTATCTTTCATCTGAGAAATAATATCTTAGAGAAAACCCTAGGGAATTGTTAATTCTACTAAACTTTTGAAATGTACTATTAAAATATAACTTGAACTTATAGAGCATAGACAAAGACAAGACTTTTAAGTTATTTTAACATTGATCATACTGCCTTATAAACATAGCACTAGCATAACAATACTCATTTGTATTGCTTCAGATTGTCAATATAGAAGTTACGAATAAGTAATTTTATCTCTCAGCTTCAAGGCCAATTATGCTTAGAGGTAAAATGCTAAAAATATTGCCTACCTTAAAGAAGACAAGAAGATCCACTATTAGTGCTCTTTCATTAAATGGTAATATGAAATTCAATAAATGTTACATTGTCAGAATCAGAATTGAGTCATAGATCAACCAGATATTTGCAGTCTACCACAAAAATTATCTCTTAAACATAAAGAGCCTTCTACAAATAAGTAAAAAGAATGATTAATATAGTAGAAAAATGAGTAAAGAACATGTTGTTCACAAAAAGAAATACAGTATAAGGAAGTAGTTTGTGTCGAGAAATGATAATTGAAAGTATACTTATCGAAACTATATTTTCATCTGTCAGCAGTAAAAGCCTAAGCATCTCCTCACCATTTTTTATGTTACTGGGAAGGTAAAGTAATGCAGTCTCTGTGAATGATAATTTTACCAAAATCTGTCAATTAACCACATACAGACTTTTCAGTCTGGCAGATTCTCTTAGAAGAGTATCTTTCAAAACATATAAGATTAGTCCTTACAGTGTTGTTTCTTAAAGAAAAAGATTAAAAGCCTGAGTATTTATCATAATGGAATTATAATGTACCCTGATGTTTTGTTAAGCTACAATTGGATGATAGACCAGCAGGTAATAATGGGAACACAAACAGGTTCTAAGAGAAGTAGTACCAATACTTTTGCTTATGTGGCTCCTACAATGATTTTGGAATGATACATAAAGAGCTGTCAATAATGGATGGATTTCTTTGGGATGGGGAATTGGATGGTGAAAAGCCAAGACTGTTCATACACCTTTTTATGGGGAAGCTTCCAAAATTAAACATAAAATAAAATAGTATCCTATTTGAATTCTTGGAATTTAAATTATTTGTGTTTTATTGTTGAATTGCATCCAGCTATGAACATTTTATGATTACTTAATTAGAAATTCAGAAAATTGTTCAGTGTCTAGTTTCAAGTTTTCTCCCTTTGTTTTAGGCTCTCCAGCTGAACTGTCTCCTACTACCCTATCTCCTGTTAATCATAGCCTTGGTAAGTTCAAGACTACTGTTTTCACAGTGCCTACTTAAGGAAAAGTCCACTCTAAAAGTTATTTTTCATATGTATGAGAAAACAATACCAGTGAATAAGCAAAAATAGGCAAAAGGTTTAAATCATTGCTTTTAAAAAGGCAGTTCAAATATTATACTAAAAGTTTTCTACTGACACCTGTAAGTAGGAAACACAATCGTTCTATTCATTGAATATATGTTCTTTATGAAAATATTCCTAATATGGAAATATTTTTATTGGTATATTTAATGTCTTCCTGTAACAGTGTAAGAGGTGTGTGTGTGTGTGTGTGTGCGCGCGCACACGCGTGTGTGAGTGCTCATATATGTATATACATGTATATATATATATATATATATATATAGCGTACAAATACATAAATGTATGATAGAAGAGAGAATTTGGATGAGCGAATGTGTGTGTGTGTGTTTATGTATATTAACTTGTGTCATTTATTTTTAACCTTATTTTACTTGGAGTTCTATAATTTCTCCTCATCTTTTGTATGCTTGGAACTCCATAAAATAGAAAAGTTTCAGTTTTTTTCTTTTCTTGATATTCTTCATAATTTTAGTTAAAGGTACAGAATTAAAATATATTTGGTTCTTATTTTCCCATGAAGTAAGCTTATATATGCAGGAATTTATTTTCTACTTTTTTTAATAACTAGAATAACTTACCAAGTCAAAATAGACAAATGGCAAAGGTCATCTTTTATATGCTTTTTATCTTAGACTTACTATCTTTGTTCCAGCTTTATATTTTATCCTACCAAAATTAACCTCCATTATGTATTTTTAAAATGTACTCGGTATGGCAAGTTGACTTACGACCTATGGTTTTATATTTGGGCAAGAACTTGATTAAAACTACTGATAATCCAGTATAAAATGACACTTCATGAGATGGGGGAAATTTAAAAATATACTATGTGTGGAAACTGAGAGAGTTCCATCTACTTCCTGAACTGATGCCCATGTCTTCTGGAATAGAACATATGAAGACGATACTATTCTATTTTTGTCTTAAATTGTTCACACATCTCTCTTTTACTTGTTTTCTTTTCCAGATTTGCAGCCAGTTACCTATTCAGAACCTGCATTTTGGTGTTCAATAGCCTATTATGAATTAAACCAGAGGGTTGGAGAGACTTTCCATGCATCACAGCCCTCACTCACTGTAGATGGCTTTACAGATCCATCAAATTCAGAGAGGTTCTGCTTAGGTTTACTTTCCAACGTTAATCGAAATGCTACAGTAGAAATGACAAGAAGACATATAGGTACGTTTTCTTTTCCTGGTGTGAAAAACCAGTACGGTATACTTATTTTGTGGGCTTGTTTATAAAATACTGAACCTTCCATTGTTTAAATGCTATTGTAGTTAAGTATATAGGCTTTACTGCCTTTGATAAATCCTGGAGATTCTTCAGTCTTCAAGAACTTTGCTTTGACTTAACATTTATTTGGCACACTTCATAGTGAGAATTCCTTCAATAAATATATATTCAAGTAAATTTATATTAAATCAAACCTGATCTCAAATAATGTGAGAATACCGTTCAGAGGGGCTCAGAATAATGAGGGTTATGGATCGCTGGAATTCCTAGAACCTGTCAGCAAGTTGATGAGGTCAGAATGTTTACCTAATGATATCAAGATACTACTTGCCATTTTTACTCCTGATTTTCTTCCAAGTGGTCAGTGAATATTTAGGTTAAATGTGCTACTGATATATAAATTCAAAAGAATTTTTATTTGGGGGGGTCCGGTAGTGGGGCCTGAACTCTGGGCCTGGGCGCTGTCCCTCAGCTCTTCAGCTCAAGGCTAGCGCTCTACCACTTGAGCCACAGCACCACTTCCAGCTTTTTTCTTTTTGCTTACGTGGTGCTGAGGAATTGAACCCAGGGCCTCATGCATGCAAGGCAAATGCTCTACCACTGAGCCACCTTCCCAGCCCCTCAAAAGAACTTTGAAGTAAAGAACTTTGGAAGTGACTGGACTATTGTCACTTCTTGTTATGCTGGGAATGAGTTATTTTTCATAAATATTGTTTATATTAATAAATGGCAGGTTTATTGAATTTGTTATAAGTTTCTCTAAATATAATCCACATATGGCAAAATCCTTTGGGATGGATATGTAGTATTTTTTAAACAATGAGGTAAAAAATTTGACTCTCTTAATAATTGAACATCATTCTGAGCACCAAGTTTGCTTCTGTTAAGCATTTGCCATTATGTTCTGTAAGAAATAATACCTACCAAGGAATGATTTGTATAATGCTGCTTAAAAAAGAGTAATTTTGATACTGTAAAATGTATACTTAGTTGTATTTGTGTAGAATTCCCAAATCTTGGTTGATACCTAAATTTGAATCATCTTACTAAAGTACCCAGGTGTCACTGCAGGTAAAGAAGGCCTCTGACTGTCCCACTACTTTACCCACGTAGTATTTTCTTTTCTCCTTACTTTGCATGTAACGAGGATTGAGGACCTTTCATGCTAGACAAATGCTCTACCACTTGAGCCACACCTCAGCTCAGTTATTTTCTCTTTTGTATTTTAACTGGGGTTTTGCATAAAAAAAAATCAGCAGATATCCTCTGTCCTCACTTTAACAATGTTTCAGGTAGCAGGAATTTTAGATTGCCTTTATACTTTTGGTTTCTTGTTTATCATGTGATTTTGATCAGAAAATAGAACCTGAAGAATCTGTTTTTTCTTTTGTATTTTCATGATATCTGGTTGATTGTTGTATAAATATTAAGATTTAAGAGAAAAGAGTATCAGGCTCTGCATTTATCTGTAAATCTGGCTTGTTGGTTGTCTTCTTTCACTGCAAAAAGATAAGCTCCTTTTCTTAAGGTCAGGTTACAGCTGAAAACATCTTAACCCATCTGAAAAATTCTCTTGACAGAGAAGGTACTGAGACACCAGGATAACTCTTACATTCTGTCATAAAACAATTCTTTTGCATCTTTTGATTTGTCAGATTCTGAAAGGAATACTAAGATACCTCATTCCATTTTTTTTTCTTGCTTAATTTTGCTTATAGATCTAGAGATTCGGTTGCCTCTGTGATACATAGCCTCTTGATATTTTTTTTGTAACCTTCATGTAATCTTTAAGGAATTCTGCCTCAGTGAAAATACACTTGTTCAAACATAGTCATTCTCTCAAAATTAGCTCAGTTTTTAAAGTTTTTAAATACAATTTGTTTGAAATGTTCCCATTGTCAATGTACTTTTTTACAGTTTAAAATTCTTTAGCATATATTACTTTTAAAGCCTGGCTGTGTAAAAAGTCACAGAAATACTTAACAGATCATTTTAGAATCTCTCTTAAGATTTCCATAGTCACACTGAAATAATAAATGTTCTAAGACTAACATAGTATTATTTCATTTTAGGAAGAGGAGTGCGCTTATATTACATAGGTGGGGAAGTTTTTGCTGAGTGCCTAAGTGATAGTGCAATCTTTGTGCAAAGCCCCAATTGCAATCAGAGATACGGCTGGCACCCTGCAACAGTGTGTAAAATTCCACCAGGTATGGACTCAACAGTATAAATATCACATCAACTTACTTAGCTGTTCTAGTTGCTAATAATTTTAGGAACCAGGAGATGATTTGCATGCTCATATTGTAAATAAAACGTATTTTCCTTTTAAATTGTTTCTTAATAATGATGCTGTTCACACACAGTTTCATTTATTATTTTTTTTCCTAGGTTGTAACCTGAAGATCTTTAATAACCAGGAATTTGCTGCTCTTCTGGCTCAGTCTGTTAATCAGGGTTTTGAAGCTGTATATCAGTTAACTAGAATGTGCACCATAAGAATGAGTTTTGTAAAAGGTTGGGGAGCAGAATACAGGTATGAAATATATATTCAGTTCATTAGTTTACAGTATAATTATTTGTATTCTATTCTTCTAGCGTTCATTTATAATCTCTTTTCATTGAAGATCTGGAGTTAGCTGATCTCTATGTATAATAATAAAGGAAAAGTTGGAGACCTGAATTCAAAACTGTTGCAAATTCCAGTGCTGGCATTATAGATGATATGATTCAAGCATGTAGGCATACATTTTAACATAATACCAGTATATTTAAAGGGTTATGTTAGTTTACAGAAGGACATTTTTTTTCACTTAGAACTCAGAGAAGGCTTCTTTGTAGTGATGAGGCATCGACTACTTTTTAAAAGATGTAAAGGATTTTATAGGTAGGAATGGATAGGGTGAAAAGTTGTAATCCTGACAGTTAAACCGCAGCTTTGTTTAGAGAATAAAAATGGAAAAAACTAAGATTGGACAAACATGATGAAAGGCCATTTGAGCAAATAACCTCCTTATTTGTGGTCTCATCTTGTATTCATTACCCAAAGTCAAGTGAGCTTCACACTGTGGCTCTTGTAGTACTGTATGTACAGGTATAATAGAAAAAATTTCAGACATAGAAATTTAAATATCAGCACTTGGAAGTTAACTTGAGCATTTTCATAATCTGAAAGATATAGTGGGGTACTTACATCATCTGCTACAGAACACATTTTTAGAAATACTGTTTCAAATTATATTAGGCACATATCATTCATTTGGAAATGAAGAGCTGATAACAGACTTATGTTTGGAAGGTTGTCATGTTGAAGATGCAGAAGCACCATTATTGACTTGTCTGTGTAACAAATAACTCAGACAAGTTCATGAGAGGGACAGGATGTCAGAAAACTTGGTAATTCCCAAGGAGTTGTCAGTTTGTTGAAGTACTAGGGGTATTTTGTTGGTTTGTTTGTTTTTAATCAAAAGACTGAGTGATATTGCTAAAGAAGATGTTTATTCTTTAGCTCTATTAGGGGAAGTTCAACTCTCAAGTCTTCTGTGGTAAAAATTTAGCTTGGGTCAAAATTCAATATGATTTTGATATACTCTAAATTTGAACCCTGTTCCATTTAAACTCTGTTTGATACTAAGTATCTTATTAATTTATGGCTGGTTGAGTAGGGTGACTATTTCTCACTTTACTTGCAATAGTACTTCCTGTGTACTTCTCTTAGCCTGATAGAGCTTACATTTTCCCTCAGAAATGTCCCATTTTAAGTAATGGTTAAGTAACAATGTCAATAAACTACTCTTAATTTAAGAGGAAAAGAATGTGTTTTAAATTTCTTAAAACAGTTCATTGGAGTATTTTGATTTTGAAGATGAGCCATTTTTCAAAATAATAACCCAGATGTACAAAATTAAGAATTGTTCAAATGATATAACATTTTGTTACATACAGTTTGCTAACTTTTTTTCCCTTGTATTTATTCAAACAGAAGACAGACAGTAACAAGTACTCCTTGCTGGATTGAACTTCATCTGAATGGACCTCTACAGTGGTTGGACAAAGTATTAACTCAGATGGGATCTCCTTCAGTGCGTTGCTCGAGCATGTCGTAAAGCTTCATCATCAATCAAGTTCCATCAAAAGACTTAATGTAACAACTCTTCTGTCATAGTATTTGTGTTTGGTCCCCATGGACTCTTTGCTATCCAAAAAATCCAGAGAGAAAACAGCACTTGAGGTCTCATCAATTAAAGCACCTTGTGGAATCCTTTCCTATGTTTGAATATTAGATGGGAAAATTAGTGTCTAGAAATGCCCTCCCAAAAAGGGGAAAAAGAAGATTTAAAGACTAAGGATATCTTGTTGGGCCTAAGACTGAGTGTCCCAAAGGTTTATAATACAGTAGTAGTTATGTGTACAGGTAATCATGACCCAGTATCGCAGTATTGTGCTGTTTATATACATTTTTTTAGTTTGCTTAAATGAGGGGTGTGTGTGTGTGTGTGTGTGTGTATGTGTGTGTGTGTGTGTTTGTATGTGTGTGTGTGTATGTGTGTGTATGCGTGTGCTGCTTCTTGACCTTAGGCAAGCCTTTATAAAGTTACAGTACCTACTCTGTTATTCTCACTTATCCGTTATTTTTGTCTTTTTTAATATATAATATATATATCAAGATTTTCAAATTATCATTTAGAAGCAGATTTTCCTTGTAGAAAAACTAATTTTTCTGCCTTTTACCAAAAAATAAACTCTTGGGGGGAAGAAAAGTGGATTAACTTTTGAAATCCTTGACCTTAATGTGTTCAGTAGGGCTTAACATTCGTTCTTTCTGTGTTTGTTTATTTACTGGTAAATCTTACTATAGAGATACCTTGCTGACAACTTTTCCCAAGCCTCTTTTCTTCATCCCACTTTTGTTCTGATACCAAAACAGTGCAGCGTGACTTCATCATCAGTAATAGTTGCGCTAATAGCCCCTGGCACCAGTTAACTCTGGGACCAGTAAAAGTTCGTATGGACTAAGTCCCCTTGACTTGCAACCAGATAATAACTGACTTGTATAGCCTATCAGTCTACTGATTTAACCTTCCACTTCATAAAAAATACACAAGTGACAGTGTAATTGTTTTCAGGGATATGCTAGAATTACTTCAGTATATTTATCCTTTTTAAAAAGCCAATCTAGTAATAAAGTACCCTTTTTTAAAAGGTATTTAAAAATATTTCAGTAGTAGACCTGCTCTCTGATTTGAGGAGCTTCATTTGACTCAGTTACCAGGTTGTATTACGAAATGGACCTTTTATAATGTAATTCCATAAAAATCCCTAGAAAAGTTATGCTGAGGTATGATCAGCAGATAAGGGCCATCTGTTTTTAAAGTATGTTGTATTCAGTTTATAAATAGGATGCTGTTTTGCATAATTAAGAATTTAGAATTTTAAAAACGGGGAGAAAAGCAAGTAAGTTTTTTTTTTAGCATTTACTTCCCTGCAGTCTGACCTGTTCCTAACTCTTCTAGGTATGAGGTTGGCTTCATGCACTGCAGTGAGAAGATTCCAGCAGCTCTGTTGATAGACCAGTGTTGCAAATAATTATGTCTAATGTTGACTCATGACAGTGTAAACATTTCTTCTTGTTTACATCTCAGTAGAATAACCACTCCTGATCTTGTTTTCGTGAATTTTCATACTTTTGGAGATAGATACTTTTGGTACTTGTTCTTTGAAACCATATTTACCTGTATGTACAGGTTTCATTTTTGATACTTTTTTTTCAGCATTTGGTTGTTTCCTATTGTATACTTTTCCATTTTCATATATTTGTGTGTATATGTATGTGTTCATGTGAATTTGGTATAGTAATTTTTTATTCATTCAATGAATATTTATTGTTCACCTGTTTTGTGCTGGGAACTTTCTTAGCCTTTAGAAGAAGGTGAACAAGACAGCTCAGCTCCTGCCTTTGCTAAGACAACATTGATCAAACCTGTAATCGTCTTATGTGTCTATGAAGGAGATAAACAGGGTTCTGTCTAGAGACTAGCAGCTAACATGATGCTTCAGGTAGGACATTGAGAAGGCCTCTGAGGAAGTGATGCTTGAGCTAACACCTGGTCTAGAAGGAGCAAGCCATGTGAAGAGCCAAGGGAGATTAGCACTCCTGGTGAAGGGGACAGCATCAAACACAAAGGCTCATGCTAAAAGTAATTCACTATTAAGTGGTCATGCTTTATACAGAAACCTCTACACAAAACCAAACTTGAAGATCAGAATAGTGCTACAGTTTATTATGTTGAAGGTGGCCTTATTTTGTGATACGCTGTTTCATGTCATTCTTATTAATAAATTCTCTGCCTGAAACCTTTGCTAGAAAAATTTCCTATTTGCACCAGGCCAATACCACTTAATTAAAAAACCCTTTCTTGCGCAAATTTTCACCAACTTGTGACCTGCTGCTTACTTCCAGACTTCTTGTTTCTCACTGATTGTTACTTCCATTGACAGTGTGTGAGTTATTTCCCAGGTATTACCACCTTCAAGCCTGCTGGCCATCTCAGTGGAGGATCTGTCCTTCATTGGAAGTTTTGATGTACTTGAGAACTTGTACTGATATTGAAAACACCTGTTGTATTGAGCAGTTGATTTCATCATAGTGGTGATTATGTTTGTGTGAATATGTTTAATGATCATATTTGCTCTTTTAATGAGATACTGGTTTTTGTATTATATTTTTTCTACTGTGGCCTAATTTTTGTTGTTTTTTCCCCCCTTTCTTTTTCTAGGAATAGTTTTTATTCCCAATGATAGTGTCTCCTCTCTGTTGATTTTTGTCTTGATTGAAGTTAGCAACATGATTTGGGATTTACCCTTCATAGCCCTGTGATGTCCTTCATGTAGTACCCCAGAACTGAGTGGCCATGCTGGTGTACCATTTCTAAGGTGATTTAGGCGGTATCTTCCCAATGGCTCCACAGAGGCACTATGGAGCTGGCCTAGTAGGACTTGGTAGCTGGTGGAGTTCCACATAACATTTCTTCTGAAAAAAGTTTTATTGCCTTTTAAAAATGTTTTGTAAATTCTTTAGAATTAGAGTAGAAACATCTAACAGGATTTAGTGCCAGTCTTTTGTGCTAATTTCACCATATTAAAGTTTTCTTGATAAGATCTGATTTACACTGACTATACACTATGGGTACACATTCACTCAACCAGTGGACACAATGATGCCTGTTGTCTACTATGGCCCTCAAGCGTATCTTAGTCCTGTGAGCATATACTCTGCCCTCAGGACATGTTGCCCAATTTTTCTGGAAAGCTAAATCTTCTAATTCTACCCTAGTACTTTGTATTCTGAGTATATTTGCAGCTTATTTAATATCTAGTTGTATTTTTTACTTTAAACCATATGCAGTTTGTTTCATTCATCTGCCTTATAAACATTGTCAGATTTTTCCTTTTGTTAAAATTATTTTAATTTACTTGATTTGTGCCTTTGTTGGTTTCATCAAGACTAAGACTTTGAAGATGCAGAAAATCAGTCTAGTCTCTTGCTAGTTGAAACAAATAAAAGAAAGTATATGCCCAGTTGGTTTCTCTACCTCTTCTAAAAGCTGCCCATATATACCCTTAAAATCTATCCTTTTTAAATTTACAAAATACTTGCAGCAATTATTCTTTATTAGGGCCCCTCTTAGTTTGGATTGGGATGTTGATAGTGGGATTTAAAGCAACACAAGACGATCTTCACTGTACTGAAAAATCTGTCTTTATATATGGTCTTTGCTTTAAAAACAGAACATTCTTATTTCCCCATTTGCCCCTACACCATGCCATCTTCACAAGTATCTATCTCTATCTGGACATGAGCAACCAGGGATCTTTTTTATTACTCTGATCTAAGGCATTGATGTTTAGATGCCCATTGTCTTTCATGTGCTTTACTTAGATGAAATTTTTTTTTATATTCCTCAACAGAATTTTTTGCTCCTTCCCTCTGACAACATGTATCCAAGTGGTACTTGCTGATTTCACTTTCCCCTGCCAGCCATATTTTATATGTGTACATCAAAATGTTTTTTTTCCCCTCAGAACTTGACTGTTTAAAGGAAGATTTTTTTTTTTGTATGCCAAGTCCTCATTTCTTTACCAGGAAGGTCAATACTCAGATTTCACTTACCCCTTAAAAATAGCTCAAAATTCTACCTGGTTAACTGTCTTTGTGACTAGCAAGTAGCAAACTAACAGACTTTTAGTTACCTTTATAATGGACTTTGCTGATATTTAAAGCCAGTGTTAGCCCTTATCCCACCCTGGGGCTTACTTGATTTTTGTATTTAGTACAAATATCATGGTAATGAATATGGTCTCCAACCAGTCAGAATCCTACTATTGAGTTCCTTTTCTACCCTTGCAAGTTTTTGTGAGTATTTTGTTCTTTCAGGCAATCTCTCTTGGAATGGAATTCCTGTGTTTTGCACCTCACAGCTAGGAAATTGAACTATATTAGGTAGTCTCATTGATAGCCTTAATGATAAGAACTGAGCTCATACATGTGTTCATGTAGGAACGGTTTTTAACTTGCATATTACAGCTAACTTTATATGTAATAGAATTCACATTTTTTAGCGGGACAAAAACTGTATATGAGTTTATAATTACATATACATGCAGAAAAATGGACAGAAGGATCATTGTAACAGTCATGAATGATTCTGTTGTTTAAATCTCAGATCTTCCTAATTTGCTTTCAGATATTTTCCTTTCATCACAACCATCAGTGTAATTTTTTCTTTTAATTCTGCCAGTTTTAATTTGGCTATTCAGTTAGTTGACCATTTTTAGGCAGCTTGACAAGAATCCTAAGTTGATTTATCCACAACAGATAAAGCTCTTCTGTCTACTCCTTCTCCAAATTACTAAACATTTAATGGTTTCTGAATGTATTAACTTAGGGTTGATTATTGTTAGATTACTCCTCACTTTAGTTCCCCTCTCTTCTTCCTAAGGTTGCTTAAGATACTTGGGAAGTACCACCAGAAGCTAATGATAGCCTGAAAGAAGGTGGTTTCCACCTTGACTTTAGCTGTGCCCAACAGCATTGAGTTTCCCAAGGTTCCTTTGGTCCTCCCTGACTCACAGGGGACTTAACTAGAGTATTTTAAACTAAGGTGATGTCAGTATCAATTGGTTTGCTGCCACAGGAGGCTCAGAGTGGAATAAAAGTTTCACTACTGCCTGATACACATTATCTTTTGAGATACAGTATCTTACGATACAGGTGAGAGGGTTTGTAGTTTCACCTAGAGGAATTTGAGGTATTTATTTTTTAATTTCATTCTGCCTTCCTAATTTTTTTTTTAAATCTCTTGCCCAAAATTTCTAGTTTGCTCTTTTTGAATGGATGGTCTTTCTAATTAAAGACATTTATTGAAAAATAAAATCCATAATGTGTTCACTTAAGGATAAAGTGAACATTTAGAATTATAAAGATAGCTAAATCAGATATGTTTTTCCATTTCATAATCAACTCTTCTTCCTTTTCCCTGTGGCTTAAATTTTTTTGGCTATTTTACAGTGTTAGTCACTAGGTAACTTGCCATATTTCTAGTTCTATATTAAGTTCTGCCCTTTACAATGCTGTAGCATAAAGTTGGTTCTTAGCATTTGTCTGTGGAAATAGAAGCTTAGTAAAGTCTCTTTTTCCACTGAAAATTTCCTTTCCTCAGTAAGTCCATAAGAAAATAGATATGCCACTGTTATTAGTCACATTCTCAGATTGTTCAAGCTGAAAAGAATTGTGCAGAGAAAGGAGAGGGAACATTGCTGGTGAATATATGTCCTTACCTTAGGAAGATAGTCATTGTTGGTTTGTGTAACTGATATAAACAGGTTAAATCAGGAAAAAATAATTACCACATTATAGCGATTAGATTGTGTGCATGAATATTTAATTAAAAAGTATTTCTTAGCAAAATGCAGAACTCAGATTGGGTATTTCTTAGAGACCAGCTTTACCTCAGGCTTCAGTTTTGCTTTTATGACCCTGACTTTTGAAGCATAAATATTTGTGACTTCTTATTAGTGGTAGTGATGGTGTGACACTAAACATTTTATACAAGGGGATAAAACAAGAAAATTCGTAGAGATTAAGATGAAAGTAGTTCTTCAGTTGTTGAACTAGATCATAACATTGTAGGCAAAATAAAAATGTGCATATCAGAGTATTTTTGCCATTCTCCCCCAAGGTCAGCCCTTCTGGTAGAATACAGTGGAAAGTACCATGATTTGGGCTATTTGTAAATATCTCCAGTTGGCCATCTTTTTAACTATATAAAGCAAAGATGTTGGCAGTAGCTGGTGGGTTGTTTTGTTGTGTGTGTTTTTTTTAACCTTAAAAAGGATTATAGAAAGACATACAAAACTTGATTATTTGTCTAGCTCTGAAAAATCTCAAAGGTATAGAGTGAAATACTATGTGACTAGACAAAGCCAGGTGGACTTTTGGAAGATTATCTGCAAACAGGTTTCAGTAGTGGACTTTGTTGTTACTACCCACTAAATTTGCTTGGTTACTCACAATTTTTTTTTTAAGCTAACACCTTTAAGGTATTTCTGGACTTCCAGCCTTTTAGCAAGTTTGGAGGAACTAGCCGTCAGTTAGTGGGCTAAAAGAATTTGGGGGCTGATATCCTTAAAAACAGCCTTATGCTCTTGGACATTTCTGTCGATTATGAGGGAGGGTTGAGTGGTGTTCTTAGGATAGCCAACTATTCTGGCATGCTGGGGACTAAGGAATTTCCCTTGGGGCCAGAGCCAGGGAAGCCCTAGGTCCCTCCACCCCCATTAAGAATTGTCCCCCTTTGGTGTCCTCATGATTTACTCTCCCTGGTGTTGTCATAGTTGTTGGCTATGCTTGCTGCTCCATGGCTGTCAATATGTTAGATGCTGAGATAGCTTTTCTCTTACTACTATGGATAGGACTTGAGATTGTAACAGGCAGTGATCCAAAACACCTACATTGTAATGAGACTTCGCACTTAGCAACCTAGGAAATGGCACTGCATTTTTAATGAGAAAAGACAACTAGATAGCTAGGCTCTTCACAATCTGTAAGTGTATCAGGTGTGAAACTTCACAATAAACAAAAACAGTGTGGTTGTAGATTTCTCTCATAAGAGAAACATAGCTTTTAAGGTCCTGACCTCTATAAATATCCCAGTCTGTCCTGCTCAAAAGGACAGAATACAGTATTATATTTCTTTTTGGTGACTGTTGTATTGAAATGATCCCATGCACCAGCCAATCACAGGTGAAAGATTGTGTGTCCTGACACAGGCTGCACTGTTTGCTCTCAAGTCTTACGTCCTCCCATCCTGAAGGTGCTTACTAGCTAGAACACCAAGCTCAGGAGCCAAGGGTTTCCTAAGAAGGCATCGATGTTGTGATGCAACATGGTGGATGCAGACTGTTCTTATTCCCCACTGGTAGTCTTCAGGGGCTGCATCCTCTGCACTGTGATGATGTGTTCTTTGTAAGCCTTCTTCCTATAACAGTCAGAAGAATGATGTGGTTCCTTTTCTGTCAGTAAACAATGAGCTGAGGCTTTATTACAGCTGGTTTTCAAGTTAAACTTGTGAAATACTGATTTCCTTCCCCTGCCCACACCAAATATTTTAGTCTATTTAAAGTATTAAAAAAATAGTTCTACTTAAGAAAACATTGCATAAATGTCCTGTGATTTCTGGTCAATTTTATATATATATTTGTGTGCATCTGTATGTGCTTTCATTTTTTACCTTGTTTGCTCTCTACCTGTGTTAACAGTATTGTCACCATTGAAAGGTGAACAATTTTCCTAGCATTAAAAAAAAGCCATTTGAGTTGTTTACCATGTTATTATGGGACTGCTTCTTATTGTAATGGTTTGGGTTTACTGATCTTGTTTTTCAGAGGGGATTATATTTTTGTGTGTGTGTCCACTGCCTAAATTACATGGATACAAAACAAAAAGCCCTCAAGGCCTCATGTTCTCCCTGGGCTTTTTGCTTACCACTTGAGCCACCTACCACTTGAGCTATACCTTTAGTTCCAGCTTTTTTCCTGGCCCCCCCTCCTCCCCCACCTCCTGGGCTGCTTTCAAATCTCTATCCCCAGATCTCAGACTTGTGAGTAGCTAGGATTATAGATGTGAGCATCTGTGCCCAACTCTTGAATTCTTAATAGAAGGTAAGAATATTAAGCCAGTAACAGATCCAAGGGCAGTTCAGCCACAGAATAAGTATGCTTTCTAGGAAGTGACACTAGAGAATGTGTCTAAAGCTACATGCCCTTATTGGTGATTGAGTAGATGGGAATGTGAAAATAATTTGCTAAGTTTTTTTTTTTTTTGGTCAGTCATGGGGCCTGAACTCTGGGCCTTGGCACTGCCCCTTAGCTCTTCAGCTCAAGGCTAGTGCTCTACCACTTGAGCCACAGCACCATTTCCGTCTTTTTCTGCTTATGTGGTGCTGAGGAATCAAACCCAGGGCCTCATGCAAGACAAGCACTCTACACTGAGCCACCTTCCCAGCCCCCATAATTTTCCA